GGTTCACAATGAGAACCACCCCCATCCCACCCCAAAAAAAACCTTTAAGGTCATATTTAGAGGATGCTTGAGAACCATCTCATTACTGTATGCAGAAAACTCATGAATGAGAGGAAAGAATGAAGTATATATCCTGCTTTTTCTTTAAAACTGTACCTCAAGGTAGTGAAATACTTAATGAAGAATGCTCTCCTTTATTGGAGAATTTCAGCAAATAATTGTACAGGGAATAACAGAATTAGACTATCACTGGAAGCCTGTAATAAAACAATGGTTCTAGGCAATTATAACCAATGGTTGCTAAAATCAGAGTGAAAGGCTAATGGAGAACTCAGAATGGACAATGTGGCTGACAAAATCTGACCTCGCTGATCAGTCTTAATGCCATAAAAGAGATTCAACCAGATGTTGTAATGCAGTAGGAATAAACAGTATCACTGAAGCATTCTTACCTGAATGTGATCAAGCCTCTAGACCAAACAACCAGTATAGAGAAAATACAAGTGAGAAAGGAACACATTAAATGATACCTCATGATTGCCATCAGCAAAATCTGGGATGTGGGGAATTCTGTACAATAAATGACCTGTTTTCTTTAATAAGTCAATGGTAGGAAAAAGAAAGGAAGGAAAATTATATATTAAAAGAGTCATGAGAGACAAAAAAATGCAATCTTATTTAGATTCTGACTCTAAAAGACTAATTAAAAATATTTTATAGACAACTGAAAAATGTGAACACTGATTAGATTGTTTAATTATATTAAGGAATTACTGTAAAATTTCACTTTAGCTATACCAACAATTTTGTAGCTATGTTGTATAAAGTATCCTTGTCTTTCATGAATATAAACCTGAAAAATGTTACATATAAAATTGTATAATGTTTAGGATTTGTTTTTAACAATCCGGTATGGAGTGGGAGGAAAGTAGGTAGGAATATAGAGAAAATAAGATAGATTTGTGATTTGATAATTATCAAAATTTTATATACATTTGAAAGTTTCTGTAAAAAAAATTAAATGTAAATATTAAAAAAATCTATCTAATATTGATACAATCAAAATGTTTTATTTTTTTTTAATTTTATTAAATGTTTATTTATTTTTGACAGAGAGAGAGAGAGAGAGAGAGAGAGAGCATGAGCAGAGTAGGGGCAGAGAGAGAGGGAGACACAGAATCCAAAGCAGGCTTCAGGCTCTGAGCTGTCAGCACAGAGCCCAATGAGGGGCTTGAACTCACAGACCATGAGATCATGACCTGAGCCGAAGTTGGACGCTCAACCGACTGAGCCACCCACACGCCCCTCAAAATGTTTTATTAAAATATTAGAGGAACACGATAAAGAAGAAAAGTAAGTGTGCTGTTAAATGCTAATTCTTGGGGTGCTTGGCTGGCTCGGTTGGTAGAGCATGAAACTCTTGATCTCGGGGTTGAGTTCAAAACCATGTTGGGTATAGAGATTACTTAAAAATCAATCAATCAATCAAGTAAATAAACTAACTAACTAACTAACTAACTCTTTATCTTCCAGAGTAGGATATGTGCTGTTAGCACAGAGCCTGATTCAAGGCTTGATCTCATGAACCATGAGATCATGACCTGAGCTGAAACCAAGTCAGACACTTAACTGACTGAGCCCCCCAGGTGTCCTAAGAAGAGATTATTTTCAAAATATGGAGAAAACAGCTAAAATCGCTAAAATTGATTACCTATGGAAAGCAAAATTCAGAGGTAGGCTGAAGGAAGACAGAAGACTGCTGTTTTTATTATTAGACTTCTGATAGTATTTGATTTTTAAAAATTGTAGACACACAAATTTGATAAAAAATAGAAATTATTTTCTAAAAGATTTATAAAATATATTTTATAAATTTCATGAAAAGCCCATTAATTTGTATTATTAATTATATCCTAACCTGGCTCTCATTTTAATGCTCTGTTCCCATTCACTTGTTCTCCATACTTAATCCATTGTCAAATCATGAAATGATCCCAAATGTGATTTGAACTCATTTACTTTTCTACTGCTCTGCTATCACCCTATGTGTAGCATCACTGTCTCACATCTGGACACTGCCATAGTCTTCCAACAGATTTCCTGCTTTTACTCTTGCTCCCCTCTGATCCAGTCCACCCACAGTGGTCAGCCTGATGTTTTCTTTATTATTTTTTTATTACTTTTTTTATTTGAGTGTAGTTGACGTACGTTACATTTGTTTCAGATGTACAACACCACATTGATTTTTTAACGCTATAATCTTTACACCAATTTCTCCTTCAATTACCTGAATTTTCACATGTTGTTTCTCAGATCTTAAACACTTTCCATTACTTTTTCCTTTGTCATCTCTTATGGTTTAGGATTCAACTTAAACATCACCACTTTTCTTTCTCTCACTACCAAATTAGTTTTCTCCACAGCACTTCACACTTGTAATTACATAGTCACTTGTTCACTTTGATTTTGTTTCCTTCACTGGCTCTAAGCTCCCATGACAGCAGGGACTTGGCTTTGTTCAGTGTTGTAGCTCTAGTCCCTAGAACATTCCCTATCATAGAATGTGTCCTTAATGAGTGTTTATTGAATCATAAATAAATGGAATGTGCAATAGACCAGATTTTCTCAAACTTTAGTGTGCATACAGTCACCCAGGGAAGATATTTTTAAATTAAAAAAAATTTGTTTTCAATGTTTATTTATTTTTGAGAGACAGAGCGTGAATGGGAGTTGGGGCAGAGAGAGAGGGAGACACAGAATCTGAAGCAGGCTCCAGCTCTGAGCTGGGCTCAAACTCACAAAGCATGAGATCATGACCTGAGCCGAAGTCAGAGACCTAACTGACTGAGCCATCCAGGCACCCCAGGAAAATCTTTTCTTAAATGCACATTCTGATTCAGTAGCTCTGGGGTGGGGCCTGAAATTGTAACAAGCTTCCAAATAAGGCCAAAACTGCCATGGCATTACTTACGCTTGGACTAGCAAGGCTAAAGTGGGTACAAAGATGAGTGACAGTAATGTTTGTCATGTAGGAAGGAGCTTATTATCTGGTAATGGAGTTACCTCATAAAGACAATCTACCACCTCCACTTTCAATGGTGTAGGAAGCATGAAAGACCTAAAGCTGTTAGAGATTGGGATAGATGTTGACCTTACCAAACATTAAAGAGACTGCCTAAGGCTGTATTTGGCTGCAACTGAGTCATTTGAAGTGTTATAATAAGATACAACATTTACAGGAAGGAATTAGCAATTCAGTATATGAGAACAGAGATCCTTTATAACAAAGAAATAAATATCATGGAACAAGGAGATGAGAATTTGAATTTCACTTTGGCCTGAGTAGCTGTGCAACTTTAAGCAGCCACTTACATTCTCTGAATCACTGTATCATCATCTAATGATGAAAACAGACGTGTGAAGATGAAGTGAGGAATCATATATCAATTAAATAACTATGACTGACATAAGGTAGCCCTTAAAAAGATTCAGGTTCTCCTGTTCCTTTCTTAGGTAGAACATTTTCCTTATAACATTAATTTCCTACAGGGAGAGAGAACCAATTTTTGAATGTTATGTTTGGCACCTTCAACATCTCAGAGGGGAAAAAAAATAGGGAAATAAAATAAATATGTAGCTAAAAGCAGGTATTTTGGTTTAAAGGAACACTAGACCATAAATCAGAAAAACCAAGCTTTGGCTCAAGGTTTCAACATGAACTAGATGTATAATGCTGAATAAGCTATTTAACATCTCTGGGCTTCTGTTATCTTTTCTAAATCATTGTATATACTTTGTTAAATACATCAATCATTTTCTTACAGGAAATTATCATTCTTCCAAATCACTTGATTTTTAAAAATATTTTTTAAGTTTATTTATTTATTTTAAGAGAGAGAAAGAGACAGAGAGAGGATGAGTGGGGGAGGGGCAGAGAACGAGGTAGAGAGAATCCCAAGCAGGCTCCCAACTGTCAGTATGAACCTCCCCCACTCAGGGCTTGAACCCACGAACCATGAGCTAATGACCTGAGCCGAAATCAAGAGTCAGACGCTCAATCAACTGAGGCACCCAGGTATAACCCAAATCATTTGAGTTTATGTTTTCTTTCTTTTTGGAATATCAGTAAATTTTACAGAAATATTAAAATTGCAGAATCATTGGATAATTAGAATAAGGATTCGGAAAACTGATTTTTTTCCTGAAATTTTTACTAACCACCCTCAAACTATATTACTAAGCTTTAAAGAATTATATGAGTTCAGTGAACTTATTTTTTTTACTTGGAGTACTTCCATCGTTTTTAGATTGCATAGATATGCATATTTCCACAAGCATTTGGAATTTGTCTTACTTGCTACATCGGCTATTGTCATAACTTAGAACATTAACTTAAATATAACTTAGAAATACAAGAAAAGAAAGAACAATTAGGAGAAAATAAAAATAACAAGTTAAATATTCTTTCAAAGTAATTGTGATGTTTCTATGTAATAATAGAAAAAGTCAGCAAAAAAATTCTTAATCACATAGATATGTGTCTCTATTTAAATGCTGACAAATGAATTTGGGGATTGAACATTATGGTTTTGCTGCCTTTAATCTTCCATCCCCATTTCATTATAAGTAGCTTTCGATTTCTTTCTGCGCCCCCCCCCCCATCTTTTTAAGTGTCTTTTTTTATCAACCCTGGCCTCATAGTTTACTCTACTACTGAATGTTCATGGAATTAAGCCATTGGGGTCATTTGGCTTTAGCTTCCTCATTAGATTCTTCAATGTCCCTGGCTTCACTCTTTGCATATAAACACATTTGTTATTCTTAATCACTTCTTTCTATTAATCCTTTACTAGAGCATACCACTTAATCTTTGAAAATCCACTCTTGTATTTCACAAAAATGGAAAATTCAAACTTCTGCTGTGTGTGACACACCATTAACTGCACAAAGACACTCTGTATCTGCTACCTTAATATTTACTGATGTGTTAATGTAATATAATAATGACCCATCTGCTTCTGCTGTCTATGAGGCACTTTCTATAGGGATGGAAATTAATGACAGTTTCTCTGAGCTGCCTGATGTCAGAGCCGGGAAAGGTGTGAAGAGTATATAAGAGCTGGATTACTCATTGGCAAGTGTGGGGGCAAATACTCCAGTGGATGCAAGCTTGGGATTGTTTATAAAGCTTTCTTACCATTAGAGGCATTCTCTGATATTACTGACGCTGAAACACTAAAAGGTAAAGAGCTTCCTGTTTATGGGAAAATATCATTTGTTTAGGGAAGCTTAGATTTGGGATCAAATATATACTTATTTCAAAGAAAGGCTAAAGCAATAATGTGGTATAATATCAACTTTCCAGATCGTTTAGAGAAGGAAATTGGGAAATTGAAAATTTTGAAAATATTTGAAAATTGTTTAAACAGTATTAAGAGACTGTATCAATAAAATTGCTATATTTGGAGATTATGTTTAAAGAGATTTTTTTAAAGTAGGCTCTAGTCTCAAGTTCCATCAATCAGAGCTATAAGACATTTCTTGATTTCGATGCTGAATTATTCTTTTCAGAAAATTTGAGAAGCAATGTGCCTCCTGAAACTTCCAGTAGTTCTCATTGTGCTCTTGGTTGCACTACACCATCTGAAAGCTACCCCCATTGAAAGGTTAGTAACAAAAAATCCTGTTTCTTTTGTAAAATGTGGGAAAATTAGAATTAAAAACTGCTATATAACTAACAGCCCTTATGCCATTAGATTTCTGATGAAATCATGCTTAAGAACAGTACATTAAACTGTTTATCTGTTCCTTGAATTCTGTGTTCTTTAAAGAATAACACCAGTGGTTGATGACTTTCTGACAGAACTGACAGAAAGGAATGGAATAGTTCCAGTTTTATCAAGAAATATGCTTTTGCATAAGAGACTCTTAAAAACTGAGAACAAACTGAGGGGGGGTGGGAGGGCAGGAAGGGTGGGTGATGGTTATTGCGGAGGGCACCTTTTGGGATGAGCACTGGGTGTTGTATGGAAACCAATTTGACAATAAATTTCATATTAAAAAAAAAAAGAAAAAGAAAAAGAAATATGCTTTGGAACCTAGAGGGGCAAAACCAGAACATGAAGCAGGAAAAGCCAAGGGTAGTATTTTCCACTATATTAACCTGATTCTAAAACAAACTGTAAAAACTTAATTAAAGCATATATTTTATAACAGGTGGGATTTTATTGTCTATTTACAGATTTCTTTTTCTCCTTGGAGGGCTCTGGCAATATCCAGAACTTTTACATCTCTTTCTGGAAATCAAAATACATAGAAATAATCAGGGGGCAAATTAAAAATTTTAAGAACTAGTTAAAAAGCCATTTGTAGTCAGGCTCTGGGCTGATGGTTCAGAGCCTGGAGCCTGCTTTGGATTCTGTGTCTCCCTCTCTCTCTCTCTGCCCCTCCCCCGTTCATGCTCTATCTCTCTCTGTCTCAAAAATAAATAAATGTTAAAAAAAATTTTTTTAAAAAGCCATTTGCTCTTAGGGTTTTTTTTTTCTATATTGTTAACTGTTCTGTTAATGAAATAAAATTATAAAAAAATATATTCTTCATAAGATTACTTCTGAGCTGCACTAAATGTAAATTAATACTTCTTGAAAATGAATTCAGTAGGTAGCATGTTCACCAGGATTTCCTAAAAAGGTTTATTTGAAAAGGTGTCATGTCATTTAACTGGTAATATTTTAAGGAAGTCTAAAAACTATCAGGTGATAATGTTAGCAGTAATTACAACTTTCAAGTGGAAAGCCTTTAAAACTGTAATTCTTTTATTTAAAAGATTCTCAAGTCCAAATGCATGCATATGTCATATACAATAGAGTGAGGATTTGTTTGTACTTAAATCAGTTTGACTCCTTGTAGTCTTTTAGGACTGAACTTACACATTCTTTAACACCAAAGAGAGTTAAGTTTATTTTTGAAGAGTTTGCTTTAAGTCATATTAGAACTTTTCTCATAGAATTATTAGCATCTTGTCCATTTTCCCTTGGGGTGTTTTTTCATTGAGGTGACAATCTGTGGTGATATGTATATTTCTACAGCACCCACATGAAACAAATAGCAGGAGTTATCAGACTTCCTTTGTCCTTTCAGGCTTATCGAATTTACAGGATGTTCTCAGAATTGACTCTGATTTTCAATTGGATTTTTGTGGATAAAAATAACTAAAACTGACATGAAGTTTCTGGTAAACCAGCAGAACAATAGAATGACAGGAAAATTAGCAGTATTACTTCATAATTCTGTCTATATCTTGATCTTTTCTTTCATTAGGTATAGACATTTGATAAGCATCTTTATGCAGTATGGCTTCATGGATATTAGTTTATTAGGAAGTGAACTTCACTTGAAAATAAAATAGTATATAACATTATTATCAAGTTATTTTCACAATCTCTTACTTAGAATCTTTATTAGAGATACTTGTAAAGCATTCTTCAAATTGCTCTTTAATGGGTTTCTTGAAATGAGTATGTCTGGTCATTTTTTTAATGAAAATTTATCATCCTGAGCTGTTCAACCATGTAATATTCTATAACCTCAAAAAAAGCTTCTTGAGAAAGCTTCTTCAGAAAATGACTCAAATTTCAAACACCTTTAAAAGACAAAGCTGATGTTGATTTATCATTCAATGAATGTGATTTTTCTCATAAAATTTAATCATCTCACTTGAGATCTTTTTTAACTTCTACACATGTATGAGGTGAGATTAAGAAGTAACAAACTGGGGTGCCTGGGTGGCGCAGTCGGTTAAGCGTCCGACTTCAGCCAGGTCACGATCTCACGGTCCGTGAGTTCGAGCCCCGCGTCAGGCTCTGGGCTGATGGCTCGGAGCCTGGAGCCTGTTTCCCATTCTGTGTCTCCCTCTCTCTCTGCCCCTCCCCCGTTCATGCTCTGTCTCTCTCTGTCCCAAAAATAAATAAAAAACGTAAAAAAAAAAAAAAAAAAAGAAGAAGTAACAAACTTGGGGCACCGGGGTGGCTCACTCAGTTAAGCGTCAGACACTTGATTTCAGCTCAGGTCATGATCTCACAGTTGGTGGGCTGATGGCACAGAGCCTGCAATGGGATCCTCTCTCTCCCTCTCTCTCTGCTCCCCCTCATGCTCTCTCTCTCTCTCTCTCTAAAATAAAAATATAAACAGTTCAAAAAATCTTAAAATAAAAAAAAAAGTAACAAACAGACTTTAGAAGTCATACAAAAAATAGTTATTTAATACTCTTGACTGGAGCAACAGGATCATACATTTGCCCACACCTTTTAAACACTCAGTTGTAAACCTGCTTAGCAGATAATCAGAGATTATCTAACAGTATAATTAACAGAGTTTTCAAGCTATACACATAGGAGCTTGCTGTAGGAATTCTTATACTTCCACAAATTAATATCGAGAGCTAGAGCAGGGATACAGTTTAAAACTTTTAAAAACCCTGAAACTGAGGTGTTTTTAAAGAGAGACAATTTAAGAGTGATACTTTAGCTTACAGTCTTCATTTTTTAAACTCTTAAAGTTAAGGACATATGCATGTGTATAAATTGTCAATAGCTTTGAACCAGTGTTTGTTACTAGATGCTAGGCAAGCCTTGCCTACCCAAGTAGTTAAAGAGAACAAAATGCCTGAAAGTAGGGGCGTGATGCCTTTTACTAACCATTTAATCTGTCTTTTTCCATCCTAATAATAGTTTGGGACAGAATCTTGTACATACTGTTGCTATGTTTACATGAAAAGTTGTGTTTGTGAAAGCATTTGCACAATAATGAAATCAGTCATCATAAAAGCTCTTAATATTTCTGTTTAGTAGAATGATGGTTCTTCTAGCTAACCCAAATAAGATAACATTTTGGTTGGAATAATTTTAAATCCTGTTACAGACCTTGAGAGCAATTATCAAAGTACCACTCAGATATTTAGCAAATAGACTAGTTCACACTCTACTCCAAGCATTTGCCAAACATATCTTGGAACAGATATCACCTTTCCAATTTCACTCAGAAGTTTATTTATTTCTTTATGTTTATTAATTTGAAGTGTTTGGGTCAAATTCTAATTTCTGCTTTTTTCAAGAAAAGTTTATTCTGTTTCAGAATTAAATGTCTGATGTATGAATTATTGGTTTAATCCTTAAAAAGCATTAAATCATTCTTTGGAAATGCACATTAGCCATGCTTACGACACATGTAAAGAGAAATAATTAAATAGATAATATGAATAATACTATATATACCAAGTAATTATGTCTCAGAGTGGATTTCCTTTGCCTGAATAATTGGTTTGTCAGCATACACTTAGACTCAACCCAATACCTAATACCAGAAGGTATCATCCAGATACCTAATGCCATAAGAAATTATTGTATTTAGGAAAAAATATGAGAATAAAAACCCTCAAGTTTCACATGAGATTTAAAAACACCCCGAGGCTATCACTATACAGAGATACAGATAAGAAGTACTCTCCACATAAAGTAAACACATTGAAATAAAATATATGCATTTTGCCCCAAATTATGTAAAACCACTGGCTTCTGAACATTGCTTCATACCTATATTTCTTTCTCAGTTTATACTTATCCTAAGTTTTACCAATATTTTTATTTCTATGGAGCTGAAATTAAAACATTTCCCTAGCTTTTATAATCATCTACAAAAAGGAAGCATGTTATTATTCTGTATCCATTTCCAATATCATTTTGAGAGCGCATTAAAACAAAAGGTGGTACAAAAATGTAGAGTTGACAAATAAATTCTGTAAAAAGAAACAAAAGTTAAAATTCAAATCAATTGTTTAACCATAGTGATCATTTCTGACTTACCTATAATATTATTATGCAATTGTTCCAGCTGGCCGAAAGAATGTGGTGAACATTAATACTATTAATATAAAAAGTCTTTTAGTTTTAACATTCAGCCTAGTCTTATCATTAAAATTGTTAAAAGGAACTAAGTAGGTGGCAGAAAGATAGTAACATTCATGTATTTATATTAAGAGTAACAGAACTCCCACACTACAATAGTCCAAGTGTAGGAACAGATGGTAAATTTGATTCTCTTGAGACTTAAAAATACTTGAAATTTATTTCTTAACACCCCTGATTTGATGATCTCAAGGAACTTAACAAAAATATCTTACACTGCTTAATTTTTATTAGAAAGATGTGGGAAATGAATATATATGTGTTTAATTCTACATATTCCAGATTCCATATACATTTTCTATTCTAAATGCTTTTTATATATTGAGAACTAGATTCATCAAGATTTAGAAGAATATAACATAAGGAAACCTTTTATTATTATTGTTACTGTTTGGAATATATTCTAAAGTTTCAAAGGATCATACTGGGAAATTCAACATTGACTATAATGGAAGTTTTGCTGTATGATTTCCTAGTCAAAAATCGATTCTGCTGCATTTCAAGGTGTCAAAAAAAAATCTGTTATCCAGCTGTTTCCAAACCAAAACACTGAGTTACTTATGTAAAAGTAACCAGTTCCCATTGATATATTTGTTGTCACATTAATATATCCAACCATGAGTCTAAGTCTCTAACCTTTCATATTTGTTCTATGCCACCAGTAACCAAGTGGAAAAGCGGAAATGCAACACTGCCACATGTGCGACCCAACGCCTGGCAAATTTCTTAATTCGTTCCAGTAACAATCTTGGTGCCATTCTTTCTCCTACCAATGTGGGATCCAATACATATGGAAAGAGGAACACAATTGATATTTTAAACAGGGAACCATTGAATTACTTACCCTTTTAGAGGTCAATGTACCTCTAGAATTCTTTTTGTTTCATGTACAAATATTCTAGTGATTTCCTGTGTAATTTAACATTAGCATGAACCTGCGTCTGTATGTCCCATGTTTGTTGCCAGTACATATAAATTGTCTTGAAAAGAATTGTTTTATTTTATTTTTTTTTTAATTTTTTTTCCAATGTTTATTTATTTTTGGGACAGAGAGAGACAGAGCATGAACGGGGGAGGGGCAGAGAGAGAGGGAGACACAGAATCGTAAACAGGCTCCAGGCTCTGAGCCATCAGCCCAGAGCCCGACGCGGGGCTCGAACTCACGGACCGCAAGATCGTGACCTGGTTGAAGTCGGACGCTTAACCGACTACGCCACCCAGGCGCCCCGAATTGTTTTAAATTTAACACTAATCAAGGTCCCATAATAAAAAGTCAGTATCTTTAAAAGTGAAGTGTTCTTGTTATAGATTTTTATTTTAAAAACAATAAAAAGTCACTCTTTAGCTTGTATTGCTATGGCTTGAGTTTGAGAACAAAGGAGAAAATGGTATCTGGAAACTTGGTAAATTGTAAACAGCTAAGAGTAAAGTTAAGAACATTAAAAAAACCAGTAATCATAAGGACCGTTGTTAAGTAATTCATTTTGCATTAGATTTCTAAAATGAGATAAAATGCTACATAAAAATTTTAATTAATTTTTGCTCTTACTCAGTCAAAATATTTTTTTTGATTGCTGGATTTGCTGGTACTAGAGGTTGCTTTGCTGGATTTGCTGGTACTAGAGGTTATTTAAAAATCTTAAAGCAATTTGTGTTCATGAGGGTTTCATTGTGTGTTATCATCGATGTGCTTTTGTTAAACATATATGCCTTTTATCCTGCTCAAGTGACTTTCAGCAAACCTCAGTCATATTCTGATGCAGCGTATTGCAAAAGCAACTTGTGTTCCTATTAATCATGTTTTCAACTAAAAGACCACAGACTTCTGGGAATTGTATACTGTATGGTGATTTATTTGTTTGTTAAACCTATTGGACGTTTCTGGCAGAGGTTACATATGTATGATACATTTTTTTTTGAAGGAAGCTGTTGAATTGGCTATGAACTGTAATGTTTCCCTCTAAGTCTCATTTATATAGGGGTATCTGCTTTTCTCTGTGAGTTAGTTACCTTTGGAAACAGCATTAACTGAGATAAATTGCTATCATGCTGTATTATGCCATTTCTAAAAGCACTCAACTTGTATTTAAAAAAAAAGTAGAAAAAAAAAGCATCTCAATGTGAGAATCTGACTCATTGACTTGATTTATACATTAAAATTTCCCCTTATGAAGTATGCCTTAGATTGTCATATTATAGTTGTTTGTGTGTATAGGTGTATAGAAACAGGAGATGATATTTATAATGATTTATGTCATAAGTTGCATTTTGAAATAAATAAGTTAATGTATAAATTCCTATTTGTGATATTAAACTGTTGGCCCTTCTTTCAAAGTGGAGTTGAGCTCAACATTTTAAATTAAGGAAGGTATGATTAAATTATAATTTCTTACACTTAGTTATTTAAAAAATTTCCCATAACAGTCTAGTTTATGTTTTTTAATATTTATTTATTTTGAGAGAGAGACATAGACAGAGTGTGAGTGGGGGAGGGGCAGAGAGAGAGGGAGACATAGAATCTGAAGCAGGCTCCAGGCTCTGAGCCCAACACAGAGCCCAATGTGGGGCTCGAGCTCACAAACCGTGAGATCATGACCTGAGCTGAAGTCAGTCACTTAACCGACTGAGCCACCCAGGTGCTCCAATAACAGTCTACTTTAAATAAAACTGTATTGCATATCAACTCTATAGCAAAATTATGTGTGATTATAGTAACCTAACAACCTCTGGTGCTAAGGAGTGAAATGTAGGTAGGGTTGCTATGTAACTTATTCTAAGCAGGAGATTTTGGTAAAGAAAAGAATTTACTATATTGATATAAGAGATATTAACAGTAGATGTCCATATAAATTTATTCATTAAATTTATCAAAGTGAAACATTTGAACAAATTCAGGATTATTTTCTTGGTTGGTAGGCCAATAAGAATCTCATAGAAGTTGGAAATGCCTTATTGCATGCAGTTTACCAAATACTTTCCCTGCTTTTTTATAATTGCCTTGTGAAAACAATGAGTAAAACTCAATTGATACAATTGGTGATATTAACAGTAAGTTTTGGGGACTACATTTATCCCAACCTTTCTCATTGTGTCTTGGATACTTGAAATCATAGGTACTTTTGAATAATCTAGAAGTGAGTTAAGCCTCCAAATACTCACATGCATGGCACAAGTTATATTTCACTAAACTACTAAAAATACAAATGATTTCCCTATCTTCCATGTTGCAATACAGAGTTAGACAAGAATTTATTTAGTAAAACTCCATTTAAAACTTCTGGAAATTCTCTCGGAGTGCCTGGGTGGCTCAGTTGTTTAAGTGTCCTGTCTGATTCTTGGTTTCGGCTTAGGTCATGATCTCATGGTTTCGTGAATTCAGGCCCCGTGTCTGGCTCTGTGCTGACAGCCTGGATTCTGCTTGGGATTCTCTCTCTCTCTCTCTTTCTCTCTCTCTCTCTCTCTGCCCTTTTCCCACTCATGTTGTCTCTGTCTCTCTCAAAATAAATAAATTAATAAAAAAAAACTTCTGGAAATTCTCTTGAGCATTTTGAGAAACATTATGCAATGAACATCTTACTTCTGTGAAGCCTGAATATCATTACCTAGCAATATTATGTAGAATACCTTTTGGTCAAGAGAAGGAAAGCTTGTGAGTCCAAAGCTCCTTAAGTTGAGTACAAAACAGACTTTTTAAATAAAGTAGGAGGAAGTATTCTTTGTCTACTGATTCTTCTTTACACACACACACACACACACACACACACACTATCCAAAGCTATGGAAAGATTCATCTTACACTCAGTGCATTTCTAGTAGACATTATAGTGCTCACCAGTATCCTCTCTTTCCTGAACCTACAAGAGATTATAGTCTCAACCCTTTTGTATTTAAGTGAGGCCATTTGGCTAATTCTGGCCAAATTTAGCGAAGTGATATGTCATTTTCAGGCTGATCCAGTAGGTAAAAAACCTACAGTTTTCAATCTTTCTCTTTCCTCTACTGCAGCAGTTCCTGATGAGGATGGACACATCCATCAGGTGGGAGCTCTGAGTAACTTCATGGAGAGCATTCCATTCTTGGACACGGAGTGTTATCAAGAAATAAACTTTTATAACTTATCTACAACCCACCATAATACAATAACCAAACTCTAACTTTTACTCAACCTAACAAACCTGCTTCTCCTATCGGCTTTATGAATAATAGCATAAGCATTCTCTCACTATAACTCAGTCTTGACATCTTAGAATTATCACCAATTGCTCAAATTCCTCACTCCACACATTCAAATCAGTTACCAGGACACATGTACTTGAAAGTCCCCTTGCTACTAAGGTATGTTTCTCCTTTCTTCTCCCATTGCCAATAATGTAACTTCAACCTCTTTACTGCAAGTCAGGACCCTACAGCAACCTGCAGATAGTTCTCCAACGTCCAGTATTTTCTGCCATTCTATACACAAATGCCTAAAGCACATTTCTTATATCAGTCTTCTACACAGAATTTTTAAAAGGCATGTTGTTAATCTACTAAAATCCATCAAATTCTTTAGCCTAACATTCAAGTCTCACCACAAACTAACCCCAGTCTTCTTTTCCAGCTATACTGCATAGCATCTCACTTTATACATTTATTCCCTGTCAAACTCTGGTTGTTTTAGTTGTTCCTAAACTGATATCATCACATATCCTCTTCTTTTCCAGTCTCTGTCTCTTCCCTCCATTCCCTCCAAGCTGAACAACTGTCCCCAGTGCAGCCTTTTGAAACCTTTTAATGACAAAGTCAAGAATCTTTCATCATTCTTTTCCTGAATATGATTTCTCCACCCACTGAGCTGCCATCACACTTTGAGGATATATTTCAGATTCAAAAGAAATACATTATTTTATATTATATCACTATTTGTATTAAAAATACTATGTTGTTATGTTGTTGCTGTCTTATTTGGGTAACTGACACATTTCTCTTCAACATTGCTAGGTTCCTAAGGGCAGAAACTAGGACTTAGTCTCCATTCCATGAATTTTCTATTTTACAATCAAGGAGCTTAAGCCTATTTGCACATTCTGGAGAAAGGTAAGCTACTTGAACGATTTCCTTTTTCTGTTCTTGATATTGTTCTGGCACAGAGCTTAACAGTTTTTGTTTTCTGAAAATTACTTGACATTCACTTTTGGTATGGAATATACCTTACATAGACTAGAACATATTAATTATGGTTTTCTTGCCTTGATTTGAATTACTAAACACTTGGGAAATGAAATCCATCACCCAATAAAGTTAACATATTTTTACACAATTAAATATTTAAATTCCTTAAGATAACTATTGAAATAAAAATCCTAAATTTCCATATTAAGTGAGATTAAGTAACTTCCATAGAAAATGGGTTTTCTGGTGGAGTGGGACAGGAGCAAATGGCCATGTTTCTCACCTTACTGCTTGAAAAATGCCTTTTCATTTGAAAAAGCATAAAATATGCTATCAACCTTCCCTTTCCCCTTATTATTGATTTAGACTATACACTGAATTCCTAAACAAAATTTGAATCTTTGCCTATTGCTTAAACTTTGAAAATTATTTATTGATCACTTTTGTGAGAGTGTAGTGTATATTTGTCATTCCTATTCATGCGGCTCTTTAACCTATATCATTTGGAAAGTATACTAGCTGAAAGATCCCTACTTTGAAACATTTATTGATAGTGAATAATGAGATCTTCTGGACATCTCCAAAATGCTACTACTTATCTGATAATTATTTAAAGGGGTTTTTCATATACCTAGGCTTTATAATACAGTGCCATTTTTCTACTGCTAAAGAAGTTACTGGGTAACGAGGTCCAGTTAAAAATTCCATTGTTGTTTCCAAGGCCCCTTGGTGTCTACAAATGGTGTGAAATGCACCTATGTTGGGTAAATAATGGCAGATTCTTTAAAAATTACTGTCAAATTCTTCACTTCTTATTTGCATAGGAAAAAATGATGATTTCAGACC